CTCTCTCTCTCTCTCTCTCCTCACTTTCTCTGTCTCATCTCTTTCACCTCTCGCTCTCTCCTCTTTCTCCTCTTCTCCCCTTTCTGTCTCTCCCTATCTCTTTCCCTGTCTCTTCTCTTTTCTCTCTCTCGCTCTCTCTCTCGCTCTCTCTCTCTCTCTCTGTTTGTCTCTCATCTCTCTCACCCCTCCCTCTCTCCTCTCTCCCCTCCCTCTCTCTCCCCACACTCTCTTTCCCCCTTCTCCCCTTCTGTCTCCCCCTATCTCCCTCCCTCTCTCTCACCTCTCTCCTCTCTCCCCACACTCTCTCCCCTTCTCTCCCCTTCTGTCTCTCCCTATCTCTCCCTCTCTCTCTCCCTCTCAGTGTCTCTCTTACCTGTAGACACATATGGAGATGAGCCCATTAAATACAGTTTCCACAGGGCCGTTCAACCCACACCTAGCTAAGCTGCTCCAGACAAGTTCACAAAAAAGAGTTTTTAAAAAAGCGACGTATAAAAGAAAAGGAAAGCAGAAATAAAAAACAACAACAACAGAACCAGCCTGTTTTAGCGATGTGACAAAGGGACAGACCTCCATGATGGTCTGAATTAGTGATTGATCCTGGAAGACTTGTAATTTCGTAAAGGTAAAAATAACCCCCCCCCCCCCAAATAAAACTTACATGATGGGTAAAATGAATAAGTGGTATCAATGATATAAATGATGGGGTATCAATAAACAGTATTCCCCAAATAAAAACCACAAAAAAACACAAAAAAACCCCAACCCCAAACAAAAACAAAAACAAAAACCAACATCAAACTAAACAAAACAAAAACAAACAAACAAACGAAACAAAACATAACAAAGCAAAACAAAGAACAAAAAAAACCCAAACTCAACGCCAACAACAACAACAACAACAACCCGAAAATCAACATCAGCAACAACAACAACAATAACAACAATTATAATAATAACAGCAGTGGTGAGTGTTAGGGGAGATTAAAACAAACAACAAAAAAAAACAATAAAAAACAAACATTAACAAAACAACAAACAACAACCCCCCCCCCAAAAAAAAAAAAAAAAAAAAGCAGTGCATCTGTGTGCGGGAGTACGTCTCCGAATACGTATAGTCCTGGGTGCTCGCCGGAGACGTCTCCGAATATCTTCTGCCGACGATCATACTAGAGGTGATGTAGTCTTCATGTTACATGATTCTGTAGTCTGTTAGAGCCACATCTTGCTCTTGTTGTGTATGTGTGTGTGTGTGTGTGTGGGAG